AACTGTTTCATGTATTTTTCTAACATTAATGAAACTGTTTCATGTATTTCTCTAAAATTAAAATAATGAAGATGATAATATCTATGATTAACACCCTCCACAATAAAAATGATTAATCAACCTCTCATAATTACAAAAAAATGAACAAAATGAAAATTATGATTGGTTGAATGCGGTTTGCACGGTTTGTACAAGTTGAGTGGTTTGCATTTGATCGCTCCCCTATATATATATATATATATATATATATATATATATATATATATATATACATACATATATAGATAATTGAATATGAACTTAAGGTGAACATAATATTAATCTTTTTTTTAAAATATTATTATAGTTTGTAAAAACATTCTAAATCTGTAAAATCTGGTATAGCTTGTGAATATATTGTGAACATAAACTAAATCAAAAAAGAAAAATCTAAACATACCATTTGTGAAAACAATGTGAACCCCCAGATAAAAAAAATTCTTAAGATTTTTTACATTTTTTTTATTAACATGGATATTCAACCCACTATGCGAGCCGACTAATCCCAGGACGACCACCTGCTTTTGCAGATAGTCCGGAGTCATCGCATTTGAACTTCCATGGCCACAAGAGGATTTTTATTTCTCATTGGATTTGAACCTAAGACCTCCTGGTAATTTTAACCTTTAAAGTCAAGCTCAAACCAATCAGACACCACCCTTATAGTTAAGATTATTTACATTGTGTTCACAATGTATTAACCTTATATGCACTTTGTGTATGCTAAGAAAGAGATAGAAGAGAGAGAACAACTATTCTCTAGTAATAAAGAAAGAGCCTACATCTGAAGTCATATCTACAAGTCTATAGATACCGACACCTATTCTATTTCTATTGGACTTATTAAGTCTTATTTGACACCTATTCTATTTTCATTGGACTTTTTAAGTTTTATTTATTTTACGGGACCAAGACATAAAGACTAGTTACTATTTTCACGAGCTCATATATTGTAAATTATGATGGATCTTACAAATCTCACATATTTTGTAGTTCTTAATATATATATATATATATATATATATAGGGGTCTATTCAAGGGAGAACTGATTAGTTTGTGGTAACTGTGAGATCCAATTTCAACCATAAATCAACGGATAAATTAGAAAATTAATAATTATGGTAGTTTGAGTTAAAATTATAATTAAAGGGCTTTTTAGGTATTTTTAAAAAACTCCTCTCTCATCTCTCTGACCTCCAATCTCCGGCCTTCGGTGAACATTAATCCGGCAGGTACCAAATAATCACAAAGATATACAATGTGATATCCATTGTGATATACTGTGATACCAACTATGATACCAACTCAAACCTTAAAAACAAAGATACACAATGTGATACCCATTGTGATATACTGTGATACCGACTATGATACCAACTCAAAACCTTAAAAACAAAGATACACAATGTGATACCCATTGTGATATACTGTGATACCGATTTTACCGGAAGCCGGAGATTGGAGGTCGGAGAGATGAGAGAGGAGTTTTTTTAAAATATCTAATATGCCCTCTAATTATAATTTTAACTCAAACTACCATAATTATTAATTTCCTAATTTATCCGTTGATTTGTGGTTGAGATTAGACCTCACAGTTACCACAAACTTATAAGTTCTTATTTGATTAGGCCCCTATATATATATATATATATATGTGTGTGTGTGTGTGTAGATGAGCGATCAAATGCAAACCACTCAATTTGTACAAACCGTGCAAACCATCCTCATCCGTCGATTTCATTATTTAATCTTATGAAATGATTGGCGTTATCCTTCTAGTATATATATAAAGAGAGAGAACCTCAATCAATTTTAACCAAATGACTGGTGTTAACTCTAAAAACTTCTTTGAACCAATCAAAAGCAATCTTCATTCCTACATGATTTACATGGTTGGGTCATTGATCAGGGGTAAATTGAAATTTTCATTTTTTTAAATGAATTTAAAAAGCTGTTATATAGCAAGTTCCATGATTTTATGGATGATAACTATATCATCTCTTTCAAGTTTTCTCACTAATTAAGTTTATAGAATAAGGAAGATGGTTTGATGCATTCATATATGTTCATTTACGAGCAATCTTTCATTAGTGAACAAATTCGCACAAGTTAACACAAATGTCAAATGTGAACATTTAGTCATAACCAAATACATTAATTGTCTACAACTGAACATAAGTGCCAACTTCTGTAATTGTGATTCACTTAATTGAAGTGCTAATGTCACTTGTTCGTAAGTGAAAACAAATGTGAAAGTTACATATATATATATGTGTGTGTGTGTGTGTGTGTGTATTATGATGAAATTTAAGGAATTCTTTTTGCAGCAAATAAACTCAGAACCATCAAGTAGCATTTATTTTTATAAAATTGAATTTCAAAGAGGGATGGTTCTTGTTAAGCTGGATCGGGCCAATCATTCCTCATTCCAAGTTCGAGGCACCGGTTTATGTAGGAAGATGATTATGTTCCTCCAATCAAATTTCTAACATGTACAAATGTAATGGATAGTTATGTAAATGTAGAAAATGTATTTCTAAATTAAATGGCAGAGAGATCGAGAGAGAGAGAGATCGAAAGAGGGAGAGAGAGAGAGAGAGGGGACATCTTATTAAAGGGAATATTGGCCAACACCTATGTTTAGACGCTAAAGGACTTGTCTTTCTAGGTTCAATCATCTAGTTCGTTCTCGTTTCATATTCAAATAAAGAGTCTTTTATTTATAAACAGTCAAGCTCGATTTAGATCCACATAAACAGTCTTCTATACATCTTTAACCAGACAAATTACGTTCAAATTCAAGTCTAAAATCTCTTCATCTTTATTTTGTAGTCCCTCAAATATTTGATTCATGTTATTTTCTGTAATCATGTTGACAACATGATTTATGGTAATTTTTACAAAAATTTTCATTAATTTTGAGAAGATGGCTTTGGTATGTTCACAAATATGTAAAGTAACCTAATTAATTTTTGTAAAATATAAATAAATTAAACCAAAAAAAAAATTACTTCTATTTTTTATGATTAGTGAAACGATTACATATAAAATTTTATTACTCGTAGATAAAGAGTTATGTGAGTATAAGAGTTATGATGAGAATGATGAAAATACTATTAAGCTTTTGAATTAATCTTGTTTTATTAATGTTTGTTAATTATTAATCTTATTGATATAAATTATTAATCTTATTGATATAAATTTTTGTCAAGTATATTATTATAAATGATAAAAAATAAATTTTTACATGTTAAAAAATCAAATAAGTTAACAAGTCAATAATATGGAAGATTGTCCTTTTTGGTCATTTTACATATATAAGCAAAATTTACCAAACACTAAAAAACAACTTATCAGCTTATTGCTTTTTGGTACTGCTATAAGCTAATCCAAACACTTTTTACAAAACTCCGGTTTGACACCACATAAGTTAATAAGCACTTTTACAAAAAAAACATAAGTTGTTTTGAATAAGCAATCCCAAACACCCCCTAAATAATTTGAACTTTATTCGAACTTGATTCAATTAATTGAACTCTATCGGTTGATTTCCGTTCATAACTTAACCAATAATTCCAATCGAATAATTTGAATTCGGAATTGACTCGAGCTCGATTTAATCGAACTTTCTTCAATCATTATATTTGATCATAAATAAACCAACAAATTAAAGATGAGTAGATGTTTTTTTATTTGGATTAAACAAAATTATTACATAAAATAAAATAAAAAAGAACACATTACATAATCAAAATACAAATCTTGATCATCTGCTTCAACCTCAGACAAGACCATTGAATGATCCATAAAAGCAATTGAATTGCAGCACAAACTCCATAATTAAACATGGATTAAAAGAATTAATTATATATATATAGATATATGTATATATAATAGAAAGTGTTGGATGATGATCGGACCAATAGCGCTTGATTCCCCATGATCGGATATATATCCGTCTTCATATAATCACGCACGATATGCAGTCATCAAGGTTCGTTGCCGGAATCATAAGAACGATCATAGCATTCCATCGGAGTTTCACGAGCATAAAATAGCTTATAATCTTCAAAAATAGACATTTGGAATGTACAAACTGCTTCTGTTATAATTATCATGTGGCCTTCTATATATATAGATATAGATATAGATATA